TCGCTGCCTCCCAACAGCTTCTCGAGATTTATCTCACGACTGGAATGGGCACGGCACCGTGCCTCAGCTGGTGCTTCTGCTGTCACCACCGCAGCTACCGGAACTTCCTTTGCTTCCAGCGCATCCGCGGTGGCTGCCTGCTTGAGACGTCCCCGGCTGCTGCAAACACACGACATGTGGCCCAGTGGCACATGGCAACTGGCAGCATCGAACACGATGGTCTTTGAGTGTAAGCCATGTGTTGCACCACGCCCCCATCACCTAAATTTTCGAAGTGTCTGACAACCTGCGACCCGTGCCCATGCCATCGTGTTGCTTCAAACTTTCATTCGAGATGCGAAGTGCCGAGATTGGTGCTTTCAAAAAAAGGGCTCAAGGACTTTGTGAAGCAAGAACAAGCATTCCCGGATGCCTCCTTCTGCTCATTCTCTGGAGGAGCAGCAGCGACACCCGTGCCCTTCCCTTTCGCCTCGGATGGCTCCCTTGCCACGATAGCGCAACGACTGCACACCACTTCTTCCAATACACAGCCGTGTTGTGATCAAAATAGATTCTTCAGCTGACCTGAGGACGAAACCTCTAAATAAACCCGGGGCAAGCCGCAGGTGGGCCCTTGCCCGGACCCTTGGCGGGGCCCTTGGCCTTGCCCTTCGCTGCCACGGGCGCCTCGCAAAGCATGCAAGTTCACATCTGTACCTGTATTCTGGTAAACACCAACTGTAAGTCATGCCGGCGTTTACAATCAGAATGCAACTAATACACCTCGGTGCTAAAGGCCTCGGCAGTGGCCTCTTCCTTGGCAGGAGCAGCTGCTTCCGGTGTGCTCGCTGCCTCCAGGAAGAGTCTAGAGATGTGGCACACCCTCATGAGTGCATAAACGGGCGGAGAGAGACAAATGCATAAATGCGCAGTGAAACCTAACAAACTGACACGCGGGACAAAATCCAAAACCGGCGACAAAAAAACGTATATATGTATATGTCTATCTATATATATATATATATATATGTATGTATGTGAGTGTGTGTGTGTGCGCGTGTCTGTATAAACTAACATTTTCATGCCTATGGCATGAGGAGCTCTGAGAGAGGGGGAGAGGGAGGAAGAGAGAGAGAGAGGGAGAGAGAGAGCGAGGTAACAAAACAATCGCCGATAACATAGGAACAGTAAAGGACGAACGTGACACAAAAGGAAACGGCGAGAGAGACAAAGACAGTTAGAGAGACAGAGAGACACAGCGAGCGTGAGGGAGAGAGACAGACAGTTTGAGGCGGGGAGAGAACGAACACAACCAAGTAATCGAGAACCATGACAGAGAGACAGTGAGAGAAAGAGGGAGGGAGAGAGAGAGAGAGAGAGAGAGAACTAGAAAAACACCAGGAAAGAAACAGAGAGGTAGACAGTTGGGGGCAGATGGAGACGTGCAGGTTCGACGGTTGAAGGTCCGACAGGGTAGATAGATGTAGAAGTACTTGCAGAGATGCCCTTGTGCCACCACCCACCCACCCTGCCTCTGGCATCGCGGCTTTCTCCTTGAAGTCTTGCAGCGACTTCTCCAGACTGCCGTCCTTTGCGGCTTGGATCAGCGAGGAGCGGGCCTTCTGCCGGGTGCTCTCTTCGGCCGTCGCCTTTGCTGCAGCCCATCTCGAACTAACATCCATACGGCTCATACGACGTACCTTTAACGGCCTACTACGAGCCCCGATGCCCGAAGCGATGGCGTGCACCCTTATACGCAGCTCAAGGCTTGGACCCAGACCGTGGATCCTCCATCGTTGAGAAAACGAGAACTTCCGAGTGTCAACAACAGCTGCAACAATGCCTAAAACTCAATTGGAAACGAACGTCACGGCTGTTGAAACTTTTTGTTGGGTTTCTTATGCCTCCTGCTGCCCAGCAGCTTTGCCCTTGCCTTTGGCCTCAGTTGTCCGATAGCGCCGAAGCTTGGCACAGAGGCTCAGACACAAACACTCAAACCCAAAGGGTCTAAGTACCCATATAGTAGATATTTTGGGCCCCAAAGTATCCACCATTTAGTACTTAGACCCTATGGGTCATAGGCGGGCACAAGCACGTTGTTCCTGTTCTCATCCCAGGATGAACAGCAAGCGACGGGCGGGCCCTTGCCAGGCCCTTTGGCAAGGCCCTTGGCCTTGCCCTTGGCGGATGGCAATGCCTTCCGCTGCCAAAGGCCATGGTGACAGGGAAGGAAGGGCTGAGAAAAAAGCGAACCCATGCTGCATCAAAGCGATCACATATCGACAAAAGCCACAAGGTCCCTCGAAAAGGCTGGGAGCTTCCGAAAAGGGCATGGCTGAATCTTCAGCTTGCGACTGCGACGACTACTTCGATCTAAAACCCTAACCCTCCAGGTACCTACTATATAGGCCCTAGGGGCTCTAGTATCGTATACAGCAGCTACCTGGGGGGTTATAAGGGACAGTCTCAGTTCAAGCACGCGCCTCAGCAGTGGGCTCTTCCGTCGCGCCGGGAGCTGGCTCCGGCACCTCTGGGCACAGAGTCTCCCCAAAATGGAACTCAAACCCTCCAGGTACCTACTATATAGGGCCCTATATAGTAGGTACCTGCAGGGCTGGGGGAAGTTTCTGCGATTGAAATCTCAGAACTATCGGTTTTAGGTCCTGGGATGTATAGGGTCTTGGAGTGTGGGACGCTTTCTTGCGCGACTGCTTGTCGAAGACATGTGCAGGTGCCTCGGCCACTGCAGTTTCTGCCACCGCTGGAGTCGCAATCTCCTTTGCTTCCATCGTCTCACTCGCAGTCGCCTGGCTGCGACGACTCTCTATTTCTCCCTGCGTTCATACTGCTATTGCTGTTCGTTGTCATTCTGCCGCCCTCCGAAACCCTATATTATAGCGGTTAGCCTATAGTTCACAACAGGAGACATACAGCTCATCTCGTTCGGACAGGCTGCACTTCAGCCAGGCAGTTAGGGGCTATCCAGTTTAGAACGCTTTACGCTCTACCCAAAAGTTTTTTTGCAGCGCAACTACACTTGTATACTAAGATCTATCAGAAGGCATAAGAGAGCACTACAGCAAGAAGGTAGGTATGGTAGCTGCAGGGAAGGTCTGACCCGATTCGGCCTCTGGCATCGCGGCTTTCTCCTTGAAGTCTTGCAGCGACTTCTCCAGACTGCCGTCCTTTGCGGCTTGGATCAGCGAGGAGCGGGCCTTCTGCCGGGTGCTCTCTTCGGCCGACGCCTTGACTGCAGGCCTACAACTCCCTACAAAGCTCAACCTCACTCGTTTGGCAACGGTGCCTGCCCAAGCTGCCAACACTCACAAGTAATCCTAACCCCTCCAAGGCAAGATTACTGTTTCTGTCGTCGCATCCGCTGGATCATACATGCTTCCTGCTGCCATGCCGCTTTGCCCTTTCCCTTGGCCTTCGCTGCAGGAAAACTCTATAAAGCCTACACGAAACCCTGAACAGGTTATTAGGCACAGGCAGCGCCCTTCTGTTGAAGTTTTGGAGTTGTTTGTGCTCAGAGTTGTTGGGTTCTGTTTGTGTTGGGTGTGTAGGGTTGTGGGGTTTTGGGGTTTGGGGTTGTGTGGGGTTGTGTTGGGGTCGTGGCGGCATGGGTTTAGGGCCTAGGGGTGGAAGGGCTTACATAAGGGTGTATGGGGCCGCTTGTATCCTCCAACAATCTCTAAACCCTAAACCGTGGCACCTGCAACTCGACCCGACATCTCAAACGACAACTACCGACCCTCAACTCTGAACCCCTAAGCATGTAGGGTTTTGGGGTTAGGAAGTGGGATTTAGGTCTGCGGGAGTTTAGGGATACACCCTCAGCCAGTATGGACCTTTGATCCAACTGAAATTGCACATGTATACATATCATGATGATAAAAATAGTACGAATGAATAACAATCATCACCATAATCATAATAATCAGAAAAGTTCTAATACTTCTAATGATACGAAAAATAAAAGAAATATATACGTAATAGTAAGACAAAGAACAAAAATAAGAAGAACACCTATCAGACCCTATAAACCCTAAACCCTAAACCCTACACCCATCACCAGAACCAAGCCACGGGAGGGCCCTTTCCGGGTCCCTTGGCCTTTCCCTTGGCGGCTGCCGGGGCCTCCAGCATACCGCGCTGGGACTCCCCGATTTCAAGTTTGGGTGTTGTAGGGCTCACCCAAAATCTAAATAATGTAGGGGCCTTAATAATTAGAACAGGGTTTTGGGTGTTCCTTATTATAATTATAGTAAAATATACCCAAAACCCTATTCTAACTATTAAGGCCCCTACCCCACATCACAGGCTTCTTTATTGCAAGTCCCGCAGAAACCTTCTGATACCCAATCCTGCCCCTCCCGAACCCAGAACTCTTGCCATGGAAGCTCTGAGCTGTATCCTGTTTTGCCGAAACCAAGCTGGGAAGATTGAAGATGCCTGAAGTATAGACTCTATTTCTGGTGCTGTGTCGCAGAAACCGCACAACCCATACACTACGAATGCTGTGAGCCCTAACTACGCCGAAACAGCTCCCAAGAACCCTAGGCCCGAGGCCACCGTCAGATCAAGGACATTGCGAGTAGCCCCCCACCAAGCTACGACCAACCGTGTGAACCCGAGGTAGATTCATGGAATTGATGCATCATTCCATCAAGAACCCGCTGCCAACGCCCTATGCACCCCGCGAGGAATTCATTCAAGACCTGACGATGAAGTTGGTGGCGCGGCTGATAAGCAGGAGTCGGATGATGGCAACATGGTTCACGCAGGTGAAACCTCATTGCCCCTGGGAACTTCGCTGCAAAGCCAAGAACTCGGCTGTGATGCCAAATCATACCGAAACCCCTAACCCTCCGACAAGCCCCGGACCAGTGTCATCTTTTGATGCTCTCACAAGAACAGGCTATACTGTACTACTTACGTACTAATTATGGGTAAAACCTGATGAAGCTTTCCAAAACGAAAACCCTAACCCAAAACCGCAAATTTCTGAAGTCCCAACCCGAAAACACAAGACAGCAAAACCTAAAACCCGAAACGCCAAAACCTACATTGACCAAAATCTCACGGCCACCTCTGAAGGAGCCGGTGCTGTCTGCTCTTGCGGCGGCATTTCGGAGGAAGCCTTCCCGCTTCGTAGGCTCGCAGGTTTTAGGGTTTAGGGTTGGAGGGTTTGGGTTGTGGGCCGCGGTGTTGCGTTATTGGTGTTTGAAGCTTGGCTTTCTGGGTTTTCGGTTCTGGGGCTTTTCAGGATGTGCGAATACGGGGTGAAGGTTTACACTTTCTATCAGGCTTGAAAGGCTCAAGGCTTATGTTGTTGGGTTTAGGGTTTCAGGCTTAGGGTTTAGGTTGATTTTGCGATGGGTTTACAGGTTTTGGTGCCGAGGAGGTTTTGTTTTGGGCCATGGGGCTTCTGGCTAATTAGGAGGTTCAAGCTTCAGGATTTATAAGTCTAGCACGCTTTGTCCTAAATACCGAACACTAAGAATTCCCTGAACTGAGGCAAAACCCAAAGTTCAAGGGTTACTAAACCCTAAACCCTAAACCCTAACTCCTGACCTTCTTTGTCCTAAACCTGCAACCGTAGACCCTTAAACTCTGAGCCATCAAAACTTAAAGCCGTAAGCTTCAGTTAAGTCAGGGTCCCGTAAACCCTAAACTTAAACCCTAAATCCAGGGTCATCGGTGAGAATTTCGGAGCCAATTACCCAAACCTACTCAATTGTTGTAAGGTCCCTATAGCCATAAATGTGTACAGTATGAAACTACACAAAGGTATATAGATCCATGGTAGTTTTTGAAGGTATGAAAAATGGAGCAAGCGAGCTGTTTGATGTAGCATCTTCAGAGTTGGAATAGCTTTGGGGGGAGCTTTTGGAGGGCTCCAGCACATGACTACATGAAGGAAGGGCATGTCGTCTAGTATACCATCATAGCTTATATATGTATATATACATATATTTAAATAAACAAATAAATAAATAAATAAATATATATATATATATATGTTCATGTACTTACATATGCTTACAGGGACATACACACATAATACATCATCACATATGCCCCCTTTCTTTATGACGATTTTGGAGGCGCTCTACTTCTTCCGGTCACCATGGTTCGGCGCCTGCAAGCATTCGGCTCGATGAAGGGAGCCCCGGCCTACAACCCCCTGATATCAACAAAGGGCCCCTTAAGAAGGCCTAGAAGATAAGCTGGGTAAACGGGATATGCCGGGTAAGGTACTTGGGGGTTGACATTTAAATTTAGGGGCAGTGAGGAAGTGAGTCGTTGGGGCTTGAGGGGTTAGCCGGCCTCTGCAGCCATGACTCCGGCGACGATGCTGCCGGTCTCTGGCTACGCACGGGGAGTGCGAACCCTGAACTATGCAAGCTGAGGTTTGTGTCTTGGGTTTCGGCGCGGGCGTCGGTAGACCCGCAAGCGGAAACACAAAGCCCCCTAAATGCTCAGAATCTTCAGGCAAAGTTGGAAGCAGACTTGTCAGTTCAAAAGGGCTGCAGACTAAAATCTAAGCCAAATCGTGTCGAGATCGAAGTTCGAACCATATTTCCACATATGTACGACTGCCGTGGAGCCGAAAGACTGCACCGCCCAAAAGTACAGCAGCCGCGGAGCGGAAAAGCTTCAGAATCATCATAAGCCGAAACACCAGCCCCAAACCCCAAACACTACACTGCTAGACTTTACGAATGAAGCCCTAAAGCCAAAGCCTTACGTGACCCTAAAGCATCAACCCAAGACCCAAGCCTAAACTCCTGAACACCAGGTCTCCAAACCGCATGTGCTGCATCTAAAGTAGCTACATAGACACATCATGATGGGCCAGATAGACACCGTATGATATAGGGATCTTTTACTTAAGAAGAAGGGTTTGGGGACATAATCATATAGGAACTGTACCAGGATATTACCAGTATCGATACTCACTGATCCTCCAACTCTGACAGTTCCCCCTACTAAACCCTAAACCCTACATCCTCCAAGAGCTCACCCTAACCCCTAAACCCAACTCTATCCGATAAGAGCTCTGAGCATAGTCCTGTCTTCGACCTCGAACGTAGGTCTAATCTATTTATGAAGGCCCCTATATTAGATTGGTAGGTCTCTAAATTCGGGCCCCTTTTAGGGTCCTTTTCATAAGGGTGCCGTACTTACTTCTGCGACCTAAGCAAGGGACCCTCGTTTACAGAACTAGCCCAACAGACAGGGACTACAAGGACAAACAAACTTTTCGCCCCCCCCCCCCCAATCTTACCAGGGTGTTCAGTGTTAAGAATCCAAGGCACCTTAGGGCATTATCTTGCGCTACTACCGTCTAATATAGGGGCATTACCAAGTAGAATAGGGTTCTGGGGTAGATGATACTAAAATTCTCAGAAGGAGTTCCAAAATAGAAGTGGTACTTATGTCGGCCCCTATACTAAGCCACGGCTCTTCAGCTTTGAATAAATTTCGGAGGGTTCTGCGGGTCCCTACTACTGGTTTTCGGGTTTACGGTTGCCTTCTGTCGCTGTTTTTTTTGGGTGGGTGGGTCTCGTAGTACGTAGTTTCTGAAATTTCTCATGCAATCCACTGCAGTGGACAGTCTATAGGGTTTAAGGGTGCGACAAAGGGTGACCCCTTTGTAATGATAAGCCTCTGAATCTCAACTCGCATAGAACCCTCAATTTAACTTATACCAAGAATCCTGGTAGCAACCCTAATACACCCTAACAGTAACCCATCTACGACCCCTCACATCAAGCTCGCTGCTTCAAAGGGTTTGCAGCCATGGCCGGGAATGCCAGGAGCAAACTGGCCAGTAAGAGAATCCGACGAGGTTAGGGTTTACATAAGGATCCCATACGGATTCCGACCACCCTAAACCCTAAACCCTAAACCCTAGACCAGGGCTATTATTCCCAGAAAGGTCTTTTAGAGGTTCCTACAGGGTCACACCAAGCTGACCCAACGGAGAATCCCCGAGCTTTTCCACGTTGGGATTTGTATCAACTCCCGTCCAGGTAATTCGAAGGATGGAGGTGACAAAGGCGGAGAGCACGGGCCTAAGCCCTAAACCTTCCTTAGAGTCGAACGAGCAGTGATTATGGGTAGCTCTTCAGATAGCGGTTCAGGGGTCGATCTTGGGCATACGGCACTGGAAGAGGATTTTGAGCAATGTGGCTTGGCCCAAACCCCAAACCCTAAATCGGACATGACAGGGACA